TTATCACCCACTAAGTCACATATGGCACCCTGAAAAATGCTGCTCTAGGTACTTTGAAAAATGCTGCTGTAGGTCAGTGCTACTCAAAGTGGGGCCTGTAGACCTGTGCTAGTCTGCAGACTGTTAGTTACAATAGGAGTTGACTTCCTTGAGGCAAGAAGTCTTGCTATAAAGAAAAGTCAGCCAAACTAAACAGGTGTGCTCAGTGACTCGGTTAATTTACATTTTGTCCAAATTCCTTGTTTCTCAGGGACCCTATGACCCACAGTTCAGGAGCTGGCACCTTGAGTAGCATTGCCTGTGGGCACCCCAGACCTTCCTTTGGCACCTACCAGCTCTCAGGCGTGTGGCTCTCAGATTTCCAAGCCTCTGTATATTTGAAACCAGGGAAGGCAGTGCCACACTAATTTGATATGTCAGTTAAATCTCGTAGCCCGGTGCCACTTAGTGTGCGAGCAAGTACTTCTGCCAGCAGAATTTAGGAATGAAGAGATCATGAGCTGGGAATCAGGGTGACCTGGGCTTACTTCTGGTTTTGCTGTGTGACCGATTTCACTTCTCTGTTTCCCCACCTCCCCTCTGTCTATAAAATGAATATGTAATAGTTATCTTTGTAGTAGGAGTCTAGGGGTAATTTTTTATATAAAACACTCCACAGAATAGTAGATATTTATTGCTTTTAGGAATAATTCTGAAATGATAAATAAGGTCTTAAAAAAATAATAGGATGATTGGTTGTATTAGGTAAAAAGTATGATGTGAGACTGTGGTTTAAAATGCACAGAAAGAGAGACAAAGGAACAGAATAACTCGGAGCTGCCAGAGTTAGGTTTCTTTTTTTTTTTAAGCTTATTTATTAATTTTGAGACCGAGAGAGTGGGGGAGGGGCAGAGAGAGAGGGAGAGAGAGAATCCCAAGCAGGCTTCGCGCTGTCAGCATAGAACCGTGAGATCATGACCTGAGTCGAAGTTAAGAGTCTGAAGCTTAAGTGACTGAGCCACCCAGGTGTTCCCAGAATTAGGTTTCTTAAAAAAGTTTAAATAATTGGAAATGTTCAGTTTAATTTTCTTCTAAAATGTTCAGGGATGTAAATAGGTGGGTGCTTTTAAAGTGAGTAAATGACAGAAGCAGCTTCTTCAAAATGGTAAAATTTGACTACCTAAGAAGATACAAAAATCAAAATCATAATCCAAAAAGGAGGCCACACAGGTAAGAAAGAAAAACATTTAACATGAAGTTATATATCAAACTTGTTGGAGTAGAGAAAATAAAGACAGTACACTCATGGCACTTTAGACCATAGAAATACTTGTGATGAAGGAAATAAAGATTAAGATTAGAAAGTACAAAGAAATAACTTTTTGAGAAAAAGCTGGGCTAATGGAATAGTGAACTCCCACGTACCTGTTACCTTCTTCCAGGTATTATGAAGTCATGGTCAAGTGCTGAGGGATGATTTAGGCTGGATTCGAAGATCTCTGTCAGTAAGTTTACAACTTACAAGATTTGATCCTTGGATTTCTAGGGGCTAAAATTTATCATAATTATATAAAGTCTGTGCTTTATCAGTTTGCAGAAAATGAAATCCAGTGTTTGCTTTTGGAAGCTTTCCCCCTCTGATTCAGCTTTTTCTTTCCTTCTGTGCTAACTGTGCGTGTGATACATTTACTTTCTGTAACACAACTTGGCGAATGAAGGATGTTAGCTGAGCTCTTTCTAAGTGTCCTTTGAATTGGAGCCTGGAAGTTATTAATGGGCCAGAAGTGTTCCTAAAGGGCTTTCCCCCTCTTTTGCTTTTACGTGTGTGTAGTTTGGGTTGGGGAAGGGTGGATCAATAATGTGTTTAAATTTCGAATGAAAGTAATAAAAAACTGGAAAATATGCTTTTTAGGGGCATGTGTATCTTCAATCAGTATATAGCTGAGTATTTGTTATATGTTTTAGTGTTTCCTTTTCCATTATTACTGATTTGGAATACAGACCATTTGAAATCAGGAACTGGATTTCATATACTACAGCTCCATACATCTTCTGTATATACATACATCTGATAACTGGAGCCCAGTTATGAAGGCAGGCAGAGGGGTCCTGCTGGGACTTGATGGGGTTCTGGTAGCTTCTAGTGTAGGTTGTACTTGAGTTTTGGGCATTCCAGGCAGAAGGCAGGGCATGTACACAGACCCCAAGGAAGGAGAGGACTTGGCATTTTTTTTCTCCCAGGACTAGAAGGGAGGCTGATGAAGCTGGAGTTGAGTGAGCTTAGGGGATGAATGAGGCTGGAGGGCTGAGCAGAGAGGAAATCACTCAAGGTATTTGAGACCTTTGGTGAGGAGTCTGGGTTTTATCCTAAATACAACAGAATGATATTGAAGCGGTAAGCAGGGGAATAAGGAAATCCAATTTATATTTTTAGTTAGATTTTGCTGCTCTTGTAGGAATTGGGTTGAAGGGGAATGAGTGGAAGCAGAGTGACCAGAGAGGCTGTGTTAACAGTGGAGATAGAGAAGTGAGCAGATCCATGGGATATTTTGGATGTAGAGTTGGATGTGTAGTGGGTGAAGGGAAAGGGAGGAATCAGGTTGATTTGTCAAAGTACTTCTTGCCCAATCTCCAGCCTTGCAAACCATTTGGCACTTTTGAGCATTCTCAGTATTGTGTCTTCTCCGATTCTGCACACCCGTTGTACCTCATTTTGGGCTGTCTTTTCTCTGTCTTGTCTTCTTCTGCCCGCCCCACCCCCCACCCACCCTTTCTCCTTTTATGGGTGTCCACCATGGTTTACTTTATTTTCAGCTCCAGATTTTCTACACTTTTTCCTTCTAACAAGGAAAATTCACTTCAGTTACCTCTCAGCACAGAAGTGATGATTAGAATCCCTGTCCGTGACTTTTGTCTTCAGCTGCTTTCAGAATTTCTGTTTAGTTAATCTGCTACTTTGTGAAATACCTAAAATTCAGTTGTTTCTTCACCTCACATTGGCTTCCTCTCTTGACTTCCCCTTTACAAAAAATACGGTTCCGCCATTCTGTCACCCAAACAGGATAACTTAGTAATCTTTTGATTCATTATTTTGCTTTACTACAATTTGTTATATAAAATACAGTATTATTCCCAAGTTGTTGGTGAAGAAGCTGGAGCTTGGAAGGGTTGTCGCCTGCTCAGGGTCACTAGAAGCTGGTCATGGGGACCCTAGTGTGTGATCCTGTCAGTCTGACACCAGAACCCATCACTGTCATTAACTCTCAATGACTGTGCTAGGAGCTTTGTGATGAGGCTTTTCTGAAGAACAACTAACCTTCCTTCGTAAAAAGTATGTCACATTGGGACCTTAGCTGTTCACAGTAGTCATATTAACCATCTGAGCATTTTCTCTGAAAATATTGCACATATATTATCTTTTTTATGGAGACCTGCCGTGACTGGTTATTCATGTTCTTCCCTCTTTTAGGGGAAGAAGAGAGGAGTGACAGCAGTGACTGCAGGTTTCTTAATTTTCTTCTCCCCTACCAATATATAAAAGGGCTTATTTACCTATATGTTTGCAAATACATACTGAAATTCATTATTAAAAATAGTATGGGCCATCAGGTGAAAAGCCATGTAAAATTTTCTTTCGTTACTAGTGAATTTGAATTTTTTAAAATGTGTGTTTATTAGTGGTTGGATGATGTCAGTTGACAGTGGGGAAAGCCATCTGCTTTGCTCAGTCTATCGACTGAAATGCTAGTATCTTCTGGAAGCAACTCACAGACACCTAGAAATAATAACACAACATGATATTTAGGCATCCTGTGGCCCATTCAAGTTCATACATAAAATTAGCCATCATAGCCACATTGTCTTACAGCACAGCCTATTCTAATGATCAGATATCATCCATTCTTTTTTTTGTTTGTTTTGGTTTTAACTTACTTTTTTTCCTGATTATAAAAGTAATTTATGCTAAATTCATAGAACATAAAAAATAGAACATAAAAAGAATCATTGGTTAAGATTTGGCGAGGGGGTGTTGCTTAACTTTTCAACTGTCTTATGTGCACTTACATACTTGACTCATGCTTTCAGTGATTTTACAAGTTGACCATGTAGCTTATTTATTTATATAACACCTCTTTCCTGTTTGAATATGGCTAGTTTTTAGGAGGCCCAGACCTGTGTCCATATGCCCCTTATAAGAGGCTTGGATTGTGTTGATTCTGCTGTCTGGGATCCTGGTATATGTTGACCTTGCCCTTGAGGAAGTGTGGAACCAAGAAGCAGACCTCATGGACCTCACTGCCCAGGTGGTACTTGTTTTTCTAAGAGCAGCTTTTCCAAGTTTACTCTCTTTCCTTCTTCCTGTTGGCTGTGAGCTCCTCAGCATACCTTTCTTGTCCTTCTTCCTGGGCAACTTTGCTTTCCTAGGGGCTGTCCAAAAAAGCTTTTTTTTTTTTCTTCCCTAGAACCAAAAAAATTTTTTTATTTCATTCTGAATAAAAGACGGAACAGATAGAACTCTCGGATATCCTGAAAACAATGTCATCGCTATGGCAAAATTTCACAGAAATCATTGCACAGAGTGTGGAGACCAAGCCTGGGCCCAAACCAGCTGTGAAGGCTGCCTCTCTGGGGAGGGGCATTAAGGAGACGGTAGCCAGGCACAGGTGGTGGCTGTGCCCCTGTGATAAGCCCTGTTGGGTCCCCAAGGACCAGGCTCAGCGCCTGGCCTTCAGCTACCACCACATAACTGCAGCCAGGGACTGGGAGGGATCGCCTTCTCAAGGTCCCTCCGTGGGCGAGCCTTTCCAGCTGTGTGCCCCACATTCCCTGCTTGCAGTGGTATTGGTAGAAATTCCACTGTTGGAGCTGCTTCACCTCCATCCCATCCTGCAGGACCCTGTCCAGAAGCTCCCGGTCCTTGCTTCCCCCTGGTCACAGAACTCCTCAGTGTTCATGCCTCTGATGTGGTCAAAGTTTGACTCGTAGATCCCAAAGAGGCCAAAGCCATTTACCTCCCAGGAATGGTGTGGGTCCCCCAGCAAGCTCCTGCAGGCATGATTATAGGGGCAAAGGCCAGCTTGTCCTCCATGCATTGTTTACAGATGCCCACAAAACTTTTTAAGAAAATTCTTGACCTCTCTTCTAACACTTCCACAAAATCAAGAGATTTGGATGGTTTACATACATTTTATAAGGACATTGTAAGGAAATTGTGGCCCACCTATGGCCTGTGCAGTTTTCCTTGTGGGAAGGCAGCATATTGTGACCATTTAGATGGAAAGCTGGCTTCAAGGTTCAAATCTTTGCTCCACCATCTTTTTTTTTTTTTTTTTTAATTTTTTTTTTCAACGTTTATTTATTTTTGGGACAGAGAGAGACAGAGCATGAACGGGGGAGGGGCAGAGAGAGAGGGAGACACAGAATCGGAAACAGGCTCCAGGCTCTGAGCCATCAGCCCAGAGCCCGACGCGGGGCTCGAACTCATGGACCGCGAGATTGTGACCTGGCTGAAGTCGGACGCTTAACCGACTGCGCCACCCAGGCGCCCCTGCTCCGCCATCTTAACACAGTGTGGTCCCTTTGTGTATCCTGGTGCTTGCCTCTAAAATACAGTGGAAAAAAGGCTTACCTAATTGGGTAATGAACTAATATACGCAGAGGACTTCCTTGGAGTGACCAGTGCATACATAGTGCTAAATAAGTGTCAGATGGTCATTGCACACATTTAAACCATTTGGAAGCACTGGATTTGAAACCATTTTCTAGTCAAATATGAGTGTTCAAACTCCTTATGTTGAACGTAATTCCTTGTGTTAAAATGGCCCATCTCATAGACTGAGGCCCTGCCTGTTTCAGTCTTCTAGATAGACTAGTTTCTGCCTTTAGAGGGCATTTTGTGGAATTTTATGATATAGTCAAGTCTTCAGAAATTATTTTGTCCTTTAAAAGAATGCATTTTACTCGTTGGCTTTGGGCCCAAGTTGTCTCTCTTGGCATTTGCTAACTACTTCACAGTTCCTATAAGGAAAAATGGCTTTGCTCATAGCCTCTGCTGAGGAGAAAGTTCTCTGAGGACCATGTGACCTCTCCCCTCTCATCTCCCCGAGCTGGCTGATTTGGTTAGGGTGGGACACTAGAAGCTCCTTCTTTCATGGCCTTCTGTGGGGGGGGAGGGGGGGGAATGAACTGGACCTGTTTGATTCTCTTAAGAATTTTAATTTGGGAAATAAGGGAAAAGCAGTTAAGAGCTCCAGCTGAAAGAATGACATAATTGATTCAAGGACAGTGAAAGGGTGCCACCAGTCAGTGACATGGCAGCAAACCTTCTGAGTAAGCAGCGGTTCTGACAGCAAGAATTGATACAAAATAAAAGAAAACAGAGCAGTTGAAAGTGAGAGAGAGAGAAAAAAGTAAACACTCAGAATCCAAGTTGCGTTGATGGCGATGGTCCAGAGAGAAGATCCCAGGTTGGTTGGGCTATGCCACAAATTCTCTGTTGTGACACACATTGTTTGCTTTTCTTTTCTGAGTTCTTTCTGATTGTATTCTCATTATTTGAGTCTTCATTTCTTGTATTCAGAAGGCCCTAGTTTATATAAGTTGTGTAGTGTATATAGTCTTCCTCATTCTCATTTCTGAAGGATTTCCCTCATTTTGTTCCCAATGCCTCAAAGGTCTTCTCTGTGGTTTACACTGATATAAATTTAGCTTATGTTTTTGGGCCCTTATTCAGGCCCCACATTCCATGCATGCTGTGTTTTCCTGATGACTTCAACATGTTTTTTGTTTGTTTTGTTTTGTTTTGTTTTGAGTTTGTCTTCCATTGGACTCCTGTGGAGTGTGTAATCTGGACCCCTCAGTTCATATGCCAGATGTGATGTGATGGTGACCTCTCTCCATTAGAGGTCACAGACCTTTTAGGACAACTGTCATATCTTGGTGTGTTATATGTCACGTTGGACTGTGCTGAGTGAATGATAGATGCAAGTCCTGGGGCATTTCTTGTGTCATTTCTTTCAGCTGTTGTGATCCTGGTTTATCTTGGGACACAAAAAAAGAGGTTTTAGCCCCTCCTTAGACTGAGTCTTGTTTTACTTTAAGAAGAACTATTTTGGATGCCTGGGTGGCTCAGTTGGGTAAGTGTGACTTCAGCTCAGGTCATGATCTCACAGCTCGTGGGTTCAAGCCCCACATCAGGCTCTGTGCTTACAGCTCAGAGCCTGGAGCCTGCTTCAGATTCTATGTCTCCCTCTCTCTCTGCCCCTCCCCACTCATGCTCTGTCTCTCTTTGTCTCAAAAAAAAATGTTAAAAAAATTATTTTAAAGGAAATAAATATTAAAGCATTTGAGAGAAATGAGAGGCACATAGTAACTCTTGGCTTTCTTTGGTTGGCAGCTAAGTTTCTCGTTTGTGCTGTGAAATGGTGATGCTCCAATGGCAAAAGGGCGGGAAAGCTCACATTCATTAGCCAGATGAACACCTGACACCTCAGTCCTTACTAGTATTTACTTTGGGCCTTAAGCATATACTGTGGTTAACACGGTAGCTTGTCTTGACATTATCCCCTGTCTATGGTTTTGTTTTTCTTTTTATCTCCTCTTTCTTAGAACATTTTGGAAACCAGTTTGAATGCCAAGTTACTATATTCAGTACCAGAATGTTTGGATAATATTGCTTTGTCATTGAGCTTACATCCCTGATCTGTAAAAACAATCCTTGCCAGTAGTGTTTTCATGCCTGTATTTTAACCCCAAGGCTACCTTATTTTTCTAAAAAGAGAAAAAAAAGAATCCTGATGTATTAGTTTGCTAGGGCTGCCGTGACAAACTTCCACAGACTGGGTTGGGTGGCTTACACAACAGGAATTTATTGTCTTACTGCCCTGGAGGCTGGGAGTCCAAAATCGAGGTGTGAGCAGGGTTAGTTCTTTCTGAGGGCTGTGAGGGAAGCCTCTGTTCCAGGCGTTCCTCTCTAGCTTGTAGATGGCCATTTTCTTCCTTGCCTCGCCACCTCATCTTCCCTCTGTGTGTGTGTGTGTGTGTGTGTGTGTGTGTGTGTGTGTGTGTTCGAACTTTGCCCTTCTGTAAGGACACCTGTCATGCTGGATTAGGGCCCCCCCTCCCGCCCCCAGTAACCCCACTTTAACTTGATTATACCTGTAAAGACTCCCTAAGTAAGATCACATTCTGAGATCCGGAGGGTTAGGACTGTACTATGTAAACGGGGCAGGGGTGGGCTACAATTGAACTCCTAACATGGGGCAATGAAAATGCTCTACTGATGTTAAGCACTTACAAAGCAGACTTTCTTCACTTTGAAGCCAAGAAGTTTTGAAGGTGATTGCTATCCTTGGGGATATTTTTGCACGTGGGCCCCTCAACTCATTAGGTTGAGACCCTGAAATCTTATCAATTGTTGGCACAGTTTCCAGAAATTCTTTAAAGAAGTACCATCATCTCTTGTTTGGATCGGGCAGTAGCCTCCTAACTTGTTTTCCCTTTTCCCCTCTTGTCCATCTTCAATGTGTTCTTGACACAGCATCCAGAGTGATGCTGTTAAAAATTCGATCATGTCCCTCCTCAGACCCCTCCAGAAGCTCCCCCTCTTGCTTGTAATAGATGCTCAGGTCCTTTCTGAACTGCTCCCCATTGTCTTTGACCTTCTTGCCTTTTGCTCTGTCTGTCCCCCCGCCCCCCCTCTGCCACCCCACCTCAGTCAGCATCAGCAGTACTAGCCTTTTGCTGTCCTACACCAGGTCTGTTCATGACTGTGCCCTCTGTCTGGAAAGTCTTCTCTGCAGTTATCCATGTGGCTTGCTTCTTGCATCATTCAAGTCTTTGCTTCGATACCATCTTTTCTGTGCCATCTGCTCAGATCTGTTCAAGCTCTCCCCAGATGTTCCCATTTTCCTAACCTTTCTTCAGTTTTCTCCATGGCTCTTACCTGCTTACCAATGTCCTATGTAATTTATGTTTTATTATTTGTCTTCTCTATTCCCCTTCAACTTCCCCCCTCTCACTTTGGCCTGTCACCCACTCTCACTCCAGTTGGTGTGATTTATTTGTTGCAGTATGCTCTGTGTCTAGAACACCGTGCCTGGCAAATGTTTGGGTAAATGAGTAGAATGTGGACGTGTAGAATGAAGAACGGGGACGCTGAGAAAGGAACACTGGAATTCTGGCCACTTGGATTCCTGGAAGTATAGGAATGAGATGAAGGCAGATGGGATGAAGGACAACTTAAAGGAATCAATAAATGTAAAGTGGTCAGGAGAGTACCTGACATTATAAGGTATGGCAGGCAGATTAATGGCCCTCCAAAGAGGTCTCTTCCTATTCCTGGAACTTGTGAGTATGTTATTTTATATGGCAAAAGGGACTTTGCAGATGAGATGAAAGGCCTTGTGGTGGTGAGATTATCCTGGGTTAGGATGGTGGTCTTTAAGAGTCCAAGAAGCTGTGTGACAGAAGGAGGTCAGAATGATGTGACTGGGGGATGATGGCTGTGAGCCAAGGAATTTGGGCACCTCTAGAGCCTCGAGAAGGCGAGGGAACAGTTTTCCCCTCGAGCCTCCAGAAGAAATGCATCCCCGTGAGACCCGTTTTGGCCTTCTGACGTCCAGGCCAAAGGTTCCAAAAAATCTTTATTATTTATAAGATAATAAATTTGTGGTGTTGTAAGCCACTACATTTATAGTGATTAGTTACAGCAGCAGCAGAAAACTCATACATTTAAGTGTCAAGTAATTGTTCCGTTCTCACTATAAGATTTTCTTTGAACAACCAATTCTGTGGCCCAAGACAGTTTGAAAACTGGTAGGCTGGGTGATCGCTAGCAATCTCTGCTCAGTGACAGGTACTCTCTCTGTACACAGAACCTAGCCCGAGTAGACCCTTTGCACTGCTGAATGTGTGCAGTGCAGTTGAAGCTTGGAAGAAGGTGTAGCGAAGATTGGGGTGGTGGTCTCCAGTGTGGACCTGCCTGTGGGATTCTTTGCAGTGTTCAGATCCCTCCCTTTGAAAGTACTCTCTTTGTAATTATTTTGGCTAACAGAATCTGGCTGTCTGTTAATGTGCCATGTTGGGTCTTGAGTCTTACGCTCCAAGTTTGTGCATTTTTTTCCTGAGGCACGTGCATCTTTGTGGACTCACCTTATTTTCCTTGACTTCATAAATTTGTCAATTTAGGTCTAGAATATTGTAGTGACTTTAGATGGTGCTTTTCCTACGATTAAGAAGACCTTACTACATAGACACTCCAGTTGGGCTGGAATTGGAGAGTTAGGGCCAGGAATGTCTTAATGTAACAGTTCCAGAGACCAGGCTGGCCCTTGAGCTGTTGCTGGAACAGCCTGTGATTTGGCCTTCAGGGCTGCATTTTGGATTTGTGAGATGTTTGCATTATTTTAAAAAATCTACAAAGAGAGTCGTTAACCTTCTTATTTGACTCCTATAGAGAGGCCATAATGCTTTTTTAGTATGTAGCGCTGCTGCCAGTTTTGTAAATCTGGAAAACAGAAGGAAAATATGAAGCCAGTTTACAGATCTAGAGGAATTTTGTTTCATTTCCAAGTTGAGTTGGGTTAACATCGGCATTATTTCCTTGGCATGAATCTGGCATGGAAGATATGAAGTTCTTAGAGTCTGTACCCTGTTCCTCTCTAAATAAAACACTGAAGAATTTTGGTACGTGTTTTGATGTGCAGAATGGGTGGCAGAGCTTCTCTTGGCAGAGCTTTTGCATATTTGATAAACTAGTTACTTGGGTCTCTACATGCAAAGGAATGTGAACATCTAGGTGCAGTTTGCCTATTTGAAAAAAGGCTTTAGCATCCGATATGGCTTGTGCAGAGTCTTATATTTCAAATTTAATGAGTAAGAAAGGCACATTTGTTTCCTGTTTCATTTTTCTTCTCAAGCCCAGAATTAGAGAACATGCCACATTTCCTCAGGCGTCCCCATTCGTGCTTCGGTTGACAGTGTGGGGAGTTGCTGGAGATAGTGGTTATGACCTTATTACCAGAGCCAGGCTGGGTCAGGTAGAGCAGTCGAACAGAGAGTTTTCCCATTCACCTCCTTCGAAGTTCCTGTATGTGACTCAGAGTTCACGGTCATAACTGAAAACTGGTTAATAGGTGGGCATTCTGCAAAAGATAGTTTTCTCATCTGTAGCATCAGCAAGGGTGAGCTTTGGCAATTTGGGCCAGTGTCTGGAGGCTCTCCAAACCTGGATTTAAACTGTGATTGGATCCCTACGTGTGCTACATCTCAAATTCATGAGATCTCAAATGTAACTCCTCATTTCTCACACTGCTCTTAGCCCTGGGAAGAGTTATATGCCTCTGCTTCTTCCTATTTGTCTGTGGATTGAAGACCTAAAAATTCTAGTCTGGATGACTCTGAGCCCAGGTTCATTTGAAAGAGTGCAAATCACATGAATTCTTTTACATTAGTTGTGCTTTATTTTCTTTCACACCTTGAAGGTATTTCATTCACAGTAGTGAGGAATTAGTAGACAGGAAAGGATGGGGGCATGGAGCCACATGATTGTGAGTTTTCCATTTAGTTAGAATCTGCATTAGAGCTGTTCAGATAATTGGGTGAGATCTGGACAAGAGAATAATGTTCTGTCTTCTGAAAGTCGGAATGATGTAATGGAAGGGACATTGGTAGAAGCTTGAGAGACTAGGGAAGGGATCCTTTGCCTCCAGGACTTATTACTAGCAGTCTAAAGAGGTCTGTGACCTTGATCAAGTCGCTAACCTGTCTCTGAACCTACTTAACACATTTGTAAAATAATGTGACACCAGGGGCACCTGGATGGCTCAGTTGGTTAAGCGTCCAACTCTTGGTTTCAGCTTGGGTCATGATCTCAAGGTTCATGGGTTTGAGCCCTGCATCAGGCTCTGCACTGGCATCTTGGAACCTACTTGGGATTCTCTGTCTTCCTCGCTCTCTGCCCCTTCCCCACTTGCACTTTTGCACGTGCTTTCTCTCTCTCCCTCTCTCTCTCAAAAATAAAGTAAACTTAAAAAAAGTGACACCAACACCTACTCTCCAGGCTGATGATAAGGAGTAAATGAAGTAATATTTGTAAGTCAGTTAACAAAGAGTAGGCACTCAGTAAAGGCATTCCCATCCAGTGGGCCCCTCACCATCTTCCCCCAATAGAGGAATGTTGCTAACTTTTGTAACTTGAAAACTAAAGACTGGTTGAGATTTATGTGCAGTGATACCGGAAAGAGAAAACATTATCCTTTGCATAAAACATCTTTGTGCTTCTTTAAGGGACTGTACTAAATATAGCGAACTATCTCATGATTTCATATTATGTTTGAAAAGGCAGAAGATGTCTATGGAGGTATAAACTATATGGGAGAATAAATACATTTAGAATATACTAAATAAACATGATACATTTGTGATTCTTAAATGGAATGGAGTTTGGTGTGGTCAAATTTTTAAACAATAAAAATTTTGCCTCATGAATTCTAATAACACCAGAAAAAAGTCAACAGAAAGAAAAATGATTTATTCTAAAATAAAGTATTGGGGCACCTGGGTGGCTTAGTCGGCTGAATGTGTGACTTCAGCTTAGGGCATGATCTTGTGGTTTGTGAGTTTGAGCCCCACATTGTGGTCGCTGCTGTCAGCTAAGAGCCCGCTTCATATCCTCTGTCTCCTTGTCTCCCTGCCCCTCCCCTGCTTGCTTGCTTTATCAAAAAAATAAACAAACATTAAAAATATGTATGTATGTATTTAAAATAAAGTTTTAACGTAACTACAATACTTAGCACTTAATGAGAGAAAAACATGCTTTTTACCCAGGGAGAAATATCATATTGGCTGTGCAAATGAACCCAAATTTAATCTGCTGTTATAAACATTTTAAGCTAAAATGAAATTAGGTATTATGAAATATTAAAAAAATTGATAGATTAAGTTTTTTACTTTCTAGAGAGCCTCCTGCCATGACCATATGAAACATGGTCTTCAAAGTATATTTTGACTTAGTGATTTGGATCAAATACCGCAGGAAACAGCTCCAGAGGGGGAAAATATAACTTATGCCAGTGTTTGTACATATTATATAAATAATCTATATAGGGGCGCCTGGGTGGCGCAGTCGGTTAAGCGTCCGACTTCAGCCAGGTCACGATCTTGCGGTCCGTGGGTTCGAGCCCTGCGTCGGGCTCTGGGCTGATGGCTCAGAGCCTGGAGCCTGTTTCCGATTCTGTGTCTCCCTCTCTCTCTGCCCCTCCCCCGTTCATGCTCTGTCTCTCTCTGTCCCAAAAATAAATAAAAAACGTTGAAAAAAAAATTAAAAAAAAAATCATCTATATAAAATGGTATAATGTATAAGTAAATATACACATATAAACACATATATATGTATATATACACATAAATGGAACCAATGTACACGCCCCTATTGAGAACTGACAAAGCAAACGTTAGTAAAATGGAATAATAAAGTTATTAAAAATGGTAATAAACCCACACACTATTAACATCTGGAAGTAGGTGCATGAGATACAAAAGAAAAATCCTATTGTGGTCCCTGTTTTAGGGATATAGTGACGCACAAGACTGTCAGTTACTGCCTCAGGGACACGACGTGATATTGTACAGTGGGAAAATAGATAATCCTGAGTGAGTTCTGACTATATAAGATAGTTTCAGATAATAAGTTCTACGAGGAGAATAAAGCAGCATTAGAATAGAGAGGGATTAAGCACCACGGGTGACCTTGTTTTGGAGAGAATGGTAGGGAGGATGGCTCCATCAGAGACAGATGGACTGAGCCATCAGGGTTGAGAACCAGCCTGGTGAGGGTGGGGGTAGGGGAAGAGTGTTTCAGGTGAGCGAGTAGCAATTTTAAGGGTGTCAGACTGGAGTGAGTTTGGCATGTGTGACCCAGAGCACGCCAGTGTGGTTAAGCCTTGGAGAATAATTATATGTTTGCCTGGATGACGATGGAAAAAAGTTACTTTGGAATGGACTAAATTGCTAGGTTTTACTCTTTTATGGTTTTAAAGATTTTATTTTTAATTGTGAAATTATGGCAAAAGTGAAACAAACGTACATTTTAAGTAAGAATGTTAAAGCAAGTATCTGTAGACTCACCCCTAGGTTATGAGCTAAAATCCCTTCAATCCCTTCGTCCCTTTGCATTGCTCTCCTTTGCCTCCAGTGGTAAACATTGTGTGACTTTTGAGATAATGATTCCCTTGCTTTTCTATAATTTTGTGACCTATAATATAGTTTAGTGTAGCTTATTTTGAACTTTCTATGAGAGAATCATACTGTGTGCATTTTTTCTGTGTGACTTGCTTCTTTCTGTCCAAGTTGTGAGATTCATGTGTGTTGACTTGTGAATTGATAGTTATTTTTACTCTATGGTGTATGAATGTAATATAATTTTCAGTTCTGTTGTTACTTGGTACTTGTTTTTTCCAGTTTTTGCTATTATTATGATCATTCTGTTATGGGTTTTCTAGTATATGTCTATAAGTGCACATGTGTAAGAGTTTTTCTTGGGAATTTACCTAGAAGGACAATTTTGGGGTTGTTAGGGTATCATCAAGTTTACTAGAAAATGCCAAAGTACTTAAAGAGTAAGTGTACCAATTTTTACTCTTAGCTAGCAGTATGTGAGGATTTGTGTTGCTCCAAACACAGAATTACACCAACACCTGGACTTACCAGACTAATTTTTGCCAGTCTGGTAAGTGTATTGGGGTATGTTGAGCTTTTCATTTTCATTACCACTAATGAGTCTGAGCACCCTTTTCATGTGGTTATAGGCCATTTAGATTTCCTTCAGTTCCTTTTGTGAAGGGCCTGTTGAAGTGTTTTGTTCAGTTTTTTTTTTTAATTAGAATTTCTGCCTTCATTGATTTATAGCTGTTACTTACATCTCCTGGGTGTGTGCTTATCTTCACTTTTTTAATGTCTTAAGCATTTTTCAAGTTTAACACAGTCAAATTTTACTAACCTTTCTGTATTAATTATCTGTTGCCTTGTAACAAATCATCCCCAAACGTAGTGGCTTAAACAGCAGCCATTTATTTATTTTAGTCTGGACTCAAGTTCATCTGGATTACCTCCTTCATAAAAGGCAGGAAAGCTTTGCTTCTGCAGGTTGGCTGCCTGCATGGGGCAGTAAGTTGGGGGAGGGCGGGGGGGGTGGGGACACTGGGCCACTAGTCTTTCACCAACTAGCAGGCTAGCTTGGGCTTGTTCACACAGAAGCCAGAGGGTTCTAAGAGAGTCGAGTAGAGGTATACAAAATTTCATGAGATGGAGGTTCTCAATTGGCACAGTGTTACTTTCACCACATCCTGCTGGCTCTAAGGCCAGCCTACATTCAAGGTGTGGGAAGAGAGACTCTACCTATTGCTGGAGGAGCTGCAGAGTCCACATTGAAAAGAGAGGTGCCTACAGGGACAGGTGGAGAATTGTCACCATGCTTGCAGTCGATCACATTTTACATTATGGTGTGTGCTTTTGTTCCATATGCTAAGGGTAAGAAGTTATAATCTTGTATCATCCTCTAAAGGTGTTGTGGTTTTTACCTTTTGCATTTTGGTCTTTCAGTTTTTTATTTTAAAGAGAAAAAGGATTTGAGAAAAGCGAACTAAACATGAATTAGATAGAGGAAGAATGACATTTGAAAAGCCGCGATAGCGAGAGATGTTGATAATGATGGAGGCTATGCACGTGTGGGGGCAAGGTGTCTCTGTACCTTCTGCCCAGTTTTGCTGGGAATCTAAAATTTATCTAAAAAATATAGTCTGTTAAGAAAATTAAGCAAAACCAAACCATGACAGTAGCTGAAAGAGCTGGGGAGCATTGTCAGAAAGTTTGGGAAGTGAGAGAAAGCAGCTTGTCCAGGAGGGTATTGGGGAGCTTTGTACTTAATGATTTGAGGTAAAGAGTTGGTAAAAGAAAAAAAAATCAGGTAGCATTTTATAATGTAAAAATAAGAATCTTTTGCTTTTATTCCTTGTTTAGTCAATGACTAAAAGAGAAAATTGCTTCTACTATCTCATTAAAAACAGTCCTCAGTTTTGACATTCTTGGCTTCTCTTTCTTGTCTACATTTATCTTCTGTGTGAGTACTCTGGCCAGCAGTTATAGATTGTGTTTTATTTTTTTCAACTTCTTAATCTGCTTGACATGAAACTTTAACACAGTCTGTCGATATTCACGGTGTGGGAGTCAGGGAACAGCTTCTTAAAAGGTGCTTTAGACCGGTGGCAGGATTGTATCCAGGCCAGGGCATGGCTTTGTGCAAATAGCTCTGGAATAGAATCAAGCCTTTGCTGTTGTAGTAGCTGTGCAACTGTGTAAATTGTTTAACATCTCTGAGCTTTAGCACCCCACTGTAAAATGAAGATAATCTTTATTTTATATAAGAGTATTGAATGAGATATACACAGCATGTGCTATGGCCCATAAAATAAATGTTACCCTATTTTAGAAGTAGAATTTTCCATCATTTTCTTATTTTTTCTATCTTTGTATATACTTCCCTTTATTTAATTTTTTTAATTGGGGAATAACTGGATTAGTATCAACATAGTGATTCGGTATTTATATACATTATGAAATGGTCACTACAATACACCTAGTTACTAGCTGTCACCATACAAAATTACTACAATGTTATTGACTACATTGCCTGTGCTGTACTTTACACTCCTGTGTCTTACTTATTTCATCATTGGAAGATTGTACTTCTTAATTCCCTTCATCTGTTTCATCCTTCTCCCAACCCCCTTCCCTTGGGCTATCATCACTTTATTCTCTGTATCTGTGAGTCTGTTTCTGTTTTGCTTTTTGTTTGGTTTGTTTTTTAGATTCCACATGTAAATGAAATCATATGGTATTTGTCTTCCTCTGTCTGACTTATTTCATGTTACATAATGCCCTCTAGATTTCTCCATGTTGTCACAAGTGGCAAGATTTCCTTCCTTTTTTATGGCTGGGTAATATTTCATTGTGTATACATACCACATTTTCTTGATCTGTTCTTCTACCAATGGGCATTTAGGTTGCTTCCGTATCTTGGCTATCGTAAATGATACTGCAATGTAGTTTTCTACTATTTTCTATTAATCTCCAATAAAAAAAGATAAGAATGTGTAGGTCTTTGCAGAATGAATTCTTTCCATCATTTAAGCTTGGCCTTCAGCTACCTCCTGATGCTGTTTGCTATGAAAACTCTTTGATACTTCTGTGCTTCTCTGGCTGGAGTTTGCCAGTCAGTTAAGGGCATCTGGCCGGCTGACTTTGAGCTTTGATATTTTTATATTTGAAACCGTGGCATTCAGCCAGTTCTCCTTCAGCGCTGGGAGATACCATCAGGTGTATGTATTCCTAATCATAGCCTGAACTTTTGAATCGGGCAAGTTCTGACCTGAGTGAGCAGATAAAGAGAAAGAGCTTTGGGGAACAATGTGAAGCAGTTATATCTCTCAGGAAGAAGAGGGTGGGGGAGGGAGTAAACATGTCTCCAGCACCTGTTCCGTGCCAGAGTGTAGAAGGGAAGACAGAAACATCCCAGAGCATGCCAGGTTGAGGGTGATGGGCCCCTTGGCAAAGGAGTTGGGTTGTGCCTCCTCTTGGGTTGGGTGAAGAGCCCGACAGCTCTAGTGACCTTAGGATGATTACATTTCTTCTAAGCCTGGACTGAAAACAAGGCCCCAGGTAATCATTAAATCTTTCTTCCTAGGTCTTTCAGCAGCCCAGCGGAAGTTTGCACATTCACTCCGAGACTTTAAATTTGAGTTCATCGGTGACGCAGAGACAGATGATGAACGCTGCATAGGTATGTAACAGTGAGGTTTTGGTTTATTCTCCTTTGCTTTGGCTACCAAATAATCGTAACTTTGTCTTTATAGATGCTTCCTTACGTGAATTTTCTAATTTTTTGAAGAATCTGGAAGAACAGAGAGAAATTATGGTGAGTTGCGGGATGTGAATTAATAAATTGAACTTCAAGCAGAGAAAATCTGGGTCTAGAAGCTGGTTCTGGTAGAAGTTTTGATGCATTTATCTGCGGATGAAGTAACACTTAGCAGTGGAGAGCCCTGGATGAGGTTTCAGGAGCCTGGATTTCTAGTTCCACAGTGGTGCTGACTGTGGTGAGATCTTAGACAAGTTGCTGGACCTCTAGACCAAGGCCCGGTTTCTTTATCCATAAAGTAGTGGGTTGGACTATAGCAGTGCTTTCTAGATTTTTGTTAGCAGTGGAGCACTTTCATTTAAATTGAGTCTCAGGCAGAACATTGATGTAACTAGAAGATCAAGGCAGAAAAGCTTATGTAGAGGCAGAGGGACAGCAGAGCAATGTTAGAGTCTGAATCATATTTTTATAGATTTTTAGGCTGTGTGGAGGGAGAGAATTTGGGCCAGGAAGTCCTTAGAATCCCTCTTTGCCTTGAGGTTCATGATCACAACAGTAAGAATAATAAGTACTTTCCATTGGGTGCTCTCCACATGCTTGATGCTATATGCTGAGTGCGTTGAGTGGATGATTTTATTTAACAAAATGCTCAGCAATGGATTTTGAGGGTATTGAGTAATAGTTTCTCACTTTTCTTAAAAGCTTCTTTCCTAATGTTTGTGATTCATTCATTCAATAAAGATTTATAGGAGAATTGCTCCCAGATTATTATATATTATCTATTCTCACCAGATTTTATAGGCGTTAAAAAAAATGACAAACTGGCTTTTTTTGTATCCTTGAGAATGAGTCCTACCTAGAATTATGTTAAAGTATAAGTGTACCAGTGGGTTCAGAAGTGCTTATAATAATAATATTGAACATGATGACTAAGATAGCCTTTAGTGTGTGTCTGGTACAGGGATATCAACCCCATGATCAACCTATGATAGAGACTCTTTTATTGTTCCCTATTTTACACTTGAAATTGAGCCATAGTACCTTGCCCAAGATCACATGGTAGCTGAGAGGTAGAGCCAGAACCAGGCACTCTGAATCACCCACCATTTTGGTCAGCTTCCTAGATGTTACTGTAATTAATCTCTTTGGTGGTGGCGGTGGTGGGATTTCTGTCTAGTGTAGTTGCAGTAGGCAAAGAAGTAGTGGGAGGACACTGATTTTGATTTAAAAGTGACAGTGACATATGGCTTCTAAAAACCCCAATATAATTTGCATTGTACCCTATATCCTGAGATGATTTGTTTATATTGTGAATACTGTAGAGGGCATGTGAAGGTACTGTGGTCCTGTTAGGTTTTTCTGGCACAGACTGACATCTTCAGCCATTATTTGTGTGATCCCAAGTCACTAATTTTTCAGCCATTTAAGAAAGTCTAAATGTGATAGTGGGTAAAAATAATGCTATCACCTTTGTACTACATTTGGGTGTGTGGGTAGTGATGGAAGTGTGTGTACTCAGTTTATGTATTTAATAGTATCAACTTTTTTGTTCCCAGCCCTCTTTGGTATTTAGTTGTATTTCTCCTGGGATCCTGAGCTTTCAGCAAATATACATTTGATCTCTGAGTGTTTCAATTACTGTTTAGAATATGAGCACACAAAGGAAAACCAAGCAAGCTTCCTCATGGAAGTTGCATTCTAGGAAGGGAAGGTGATAAATAAACATGTACTATAGGTCAGGTAGCATAAGTCCTACAAAATCAAATAAAGAGGGGTCTCTGGCGGCTCAGTTAAGCGTCCGACTTCAGCTCAGGTCATGATCTTGTGGGTTGTGAGTTCGAGCCCTGCTTCAGGCTCTCTGTTGTCTTCTTAGGGCCCGCTTGGGATTCTCTCTCTGTCCCTCTCTCTCTGCCCCTCCCCAACTTGTGCGTTCTCGCTCGCTCTCAAAATAAATGAATAAACCTAAAAAAAAAAAAAAAAACCCAAAACAAAAAAAAATCAAAGTGAAGGAAAGTTAGTAGCCAAAGAGTCAGAGAGTAGGGCAGGGTACTCCTATATGTAGGGTGGTGAGGAGAGGCCTGTATAGCTGAGAACTATGTGAGGCATCCTGACATTTAGGGGAAGAGTGTTAGGTGGACCCGTGCTGGATTTTATCACCACCAAAATACTGTGTGACTACTTCCTGTCTTGATGTCCTATTTCTGTTTTGTGTTCTTTGAGATGCACTGACTAGGTCAAAAAACTGGAATGTGGTCTTAGCTCCAGGCTGTCAGATGCAGATAGTGTGGTTCTCAGGGCTATTAATAGCTGGCATCTTGGTGTAATCTTCAGCTGTGTTGGGGGTTGATAGGGTCTTTTAGATAGGATGGGGATGATGGGGCTGGGTTTCTGGTATAGGGTAGAAGTAGAAATAGGATGTTGTCTGTATAAGGCTGGAACCTCAGGGAGGAATGGGACAGTATGTTATAACACATTTGTGGGAACAGCGACTCCTGCATAGCAGGAAACTATTCAAAGCCAGAAGGCAGTTTGGTGGCGGGGGGTAGGGAGCAGCATAATATCCCTTAGATAAGGACACCTACGTGCTTTTTTTTTTTTTTTTTTTTTTTTTAAAGCTTTTTAGCTTGGAAAAAGTTTGAGCATGTACAAAAAGAAAAAATATGTTTAAAAAAATTTTTTTTAACATTTATTTATTTTTGAGACAGAGAGATGCTGAACAGGGAGGTCAGAGAAGGGGAGCACAGAATCTGGAAACAGAGCTTCAGGCCTGAACCGTCATGCACAGGGGAGGAACCTCGACACGGGACTCCGAAGACCGGACTGTCGAGATCATGACCTGAGCAGAATGGAGCAACTGAACTGAGCCACCCAGGCGCCCCGAGAGAAATATAATTAAACTACATGTAGTCAGTATCCAGCTTCAGTAACCATTGCCACACAGCCAATCTTGTTTCTCCTATACTTCTCCCCACTCCCGTGCCCCCACAATTTGATAGAAAGCCCATTATATTGTTTCATGCATAAATATCCTACTACAGAGCTCTAAAAGGTTAACTCTCTTCCTGATCCACAGTGTCCTTCACACACCTAAAGACAAGCAAATCGTCATTCTTAATATTACAAGGAATTAGGCTGTATTCAAAATTCTCTGATACTCATTTAAAGTCTGCCCTCCCCCACAGCAGTTGGTTTGATTGAATCTGGATCCAAACACATTGCATTTGATAGATAAGTTTCTAAGTCTCTTTTAATCTGTAGGTTTTTCTTCCTTTTTTCCCTTACTAAGAATTTCTGATACTTTTCTATTAGCCTTAAAAGACCTTTAAAATAGTACTACTTCCTGAGTTATCAATGAGTTATAATAACAAAATTAATAATAAAAATGAAAATGTTTAGTATTTAACCCATATTGGTGTTCTTTGGGTCTTTCTGTCTAATCTCCATCATCAGGGGTCTCACTTTTTTGTAACCATGAAAATTGCATGGAATCACAGCTACCTTTTTTAGAATTTTTTAATTAATTAATTATTTATATTTTAGTGTTTATTTTTGAGAGAGAGAGAGAGAGAGAGAGAGCGCGCGCGAGCAGGGGAGGGGCAGAGACAGAGGGAAACACAGAATCTGAAGCAGTCTCCAGGCTCTGAGCTGTCAGCACAGACCCCGATGTGGGGTCAAACCCACAAACCGTGAGATCATGACCTGAGCTGAAGTCGCATGCTCAACCGACTGAGCCACCCAGGCGCCCCTAGCTACCTTTGTTTCAAATAACTTTGAACGCTTAGTAAAAAAAACTTTGATGCCTTACTAGACACTAGCCTTAAACTTTTGAATAAGAAAAGATACCTCCCCTAGGAAGTGCTCAGTATGGCCTTGGAGAATAACTGGTAAAAAATGAATTACAATATATTCTACTGGGGCACATGGTGGCTCAGTCAGTTAAGCATCTGACTCTTGATTTCTGCTCAGCTCATAATCTCATGGTTTGCGAGTTCAAGCCTCAAGTGAGGCTCTGTGCTGACAG